GCTAACCCTGAGCTCTTTTTTGCGCAAGACTAGCACTCTGCCATTTTGAGCCACAGCACTATTTCTGGTTTTTAATTTCTTTCTTTCTTTTTTTTATTGGTCATGGGGCTTGAATTCTGGGCCTGGGAACTGTCCCTCAGCTCTTCAGCTCAAGGAGAGTACTCTACCACTTAAGCCACAGTGCCACTTCCGGTTTTCTGGTGGTTTATTGGAGATAAGAGTTTCATGGACTTTACTGCCCGGGCTGGCTTTGAACTGTGATCCTCAGGTCTCAGCCTCTAGAGTAGCTAGGATTACAGGTGTGAGCCACTAGTACCCGGCCACTTCTGGTTTTCTGATGGTTCACTGGAGATGAGTCTCAGACTTCCTTGCCCAGGGTAGCTTTGACCCATAATCCTCAGATCTCCACTTTCTCAGTAGGTAGGATTACAGGCATGAGCTACTAGAGCTTGGCTTTTTTTTTTTTTTTTTTTTTTGGTGTGTGAGTGTGAGGGGGTGAACTGGAGGTAAGAGTCTCATGGATTTTTTATTTTTGGTCGGTCATGGGGCATGAACTCTGGGCCTGGGCATTGTCCCTCAGCTCTTCAGCTCAAGGCTAGTGTTCTACCACTTGAGCCACAGCAGCACTTCTGGCTTTTTCTGCTTATGTGGTGCTGAGGAATTGAACCCAGGGCCTCATGCATGCTTCCAAGGCAAGCACTCTACCACTGAGCCACCTACCCAGCCCTGTCATGGACTTTTCTACCAGGGCTCGTTTCAAACTGTTATCCTCACATCTCAGCTTCCTGAGAAATTAGGATTATGGGCATGAGCCACCAGAACCAGACTTTTTACTAGTTGTTTTGTTTTGTTTTTGGTATTGGACATGGGGCTTGAACTTGGGGCCTAAGAACTGTCCCTGAGCTTTTTTTGGGGGGGGCGGGGGATCTGGTCATGGGGCTTGAACTCTGGGTCTGGGCGCTGTCCCTCAGCTCTTCAGCTCAAAGCTAGTACTCTACCACTTGAGCCACAGTGCCACTTCCGACTTTTTTTTTCTACTTATGTGGTACTGAGGAATTGAACCCAGGGCCTCATGCATGCAAGGCAAGCGCTCTACCACTGACCCACCTTCCCAGCCCATCCCTGAGCTTTTTTTTGCTCTAGTTTAGTGCTCTGTCACTTGAGCCACAGCTCTATTTCTGGCTTTTTGCTGGTTCACTGGAGATATCAGTCTCACGGATTTTTATACCTGAGCTGGCATTGAATCATGATCCTTAGATCTCAGCCTTCTGAAATGGTGGGAGCCACCAACATCCAGCTATTTTCTACTTGTTGTTTTTTGGTGCCAGTCCTGGGGCTTGAACTCAGAGCCTTTGAACTGTCCTTGAGCACAAGGCTAGCACTCTACCACATGAGCAACAGCAACACGTCTGTTTTTTTCGGTAGCTCGTTGGAGATGAGTCTCAAGGGCTTTCCTGCTAAGGCTCGTTTTAAACAGTGGTCCTCAGATCAGCTTCCTGAGTAGCTAAGTTTACAGAGGTAGGCCACCAGTGCTGACTTTTTTTTTCTTTCTATTTTTAACATTGCAATCCTATTTCTTTTTTTTTTTTTTTCGGTTGTGGGACCTGAACTCTGGGCCTGGGCGCTGTCCCTCAGTTCTTCAGCTCAAGGCTAGCGCTCTACCACTTGAGCCACAGAGCCACTTCCAGCTTTTTCTTTTTGCTTATGTGGTGCTAAGGAATCTAACCCAGGGCCTCAGGCATGCAAGGCAAGCACTCTGCCACTGAGCCACCTTCCCAGCCCCATACAACCCTATTTCTTTAAGTAGGTTTTACCATATGGAATATTTTTTACCATATGGATTACTTCTGTCCCCTTAAATTGCATTGGAGAGTAAGACATGAAGAAAGACACTATTATTTACCTGACATTCAGTCATTTTCTTCTTTTAGGGAGAAACAGGACTTGAGCAGGCAGAACTGGTGAGGAGAATAAAATTCATTAGAGCCAGGCACTTGGTATGTGACTTGGGAATCTCAAGCATCACAACTATATTCCAAACTGAAATCTTAAGTCTTCCTAAATCAGTTTTTGTTATGTTGTTTACCTTCTCAATAAGTTCATTCTGTTTTGTTTTTCCTCACAGTACTGGGTTCAAACTCCAGGCCTTGTGAATACTTGGCTCTGCCATGTCAGCCATGCCCCTAGTCCTATTTGGCTTTAGTTATTAGGAATAGTCTCATTTTTTGTCCTAGGCAAGCTTCAGCCAGTAATCCTCCTTAAATCTAGCCTCCCATGTAGATGGGATGGCAGGTACACATCAGTGCATCTGAATGGTTGGTTGAGTCTTACTAATTTTTTGCTTAGTAATTGCTGCCTTCTAAGAATCTGAAAGTAGAGGCATGAGCCTGGCTAATAATTCCATTCTTAGTTACTCAGATAAATATCAGGTCAAATGTATTATCTACATCAGTTCTGTCAGCAAACTGGAAGCTCTACCTTTAAGTTATATCCAGTACATGATTACTTCTCATCATTTTTACTAGTTTGGTCTAGATAACCAATAGTATTTGCCTAACTGGTCTTTCTGCTCTTTCCTTTCCTCCTCCCTGACCCTTTCCTTCAGTCTTTGTCCAGTAGTCCATTCATATCAGAGCAACCAAAGATGCCCTCACTCGTTGTAAACAGATATTACTTCCATGCTCAAAACTCCAACATCTTCCCATGTTGCCCAAAGCCAAAAACATTACTTGGGGCATAAGCTCCAACTTGCTCTGCCCTCCTTTCCTCCACCTAGCTCTCCTCTCATCTCCCACTATCTGTCCCCTGTTCTCCCTCTCATTCACTCTGTTTTAGCCAAACCAGCCTCTTCATTGTAACAGGCATGTTGCCACCTCAAAATATTTCTGGCTCCAGTGGGTATGGTGGCTCATGCTATGATCCCAGTTCCTAGATACTTGGGAGGAGTTCAAATCCTGACTTGAACAAAAAAAAAAGTATTAACCCTTTTAAGTAGGGTTGGGATCATGGCTCAGGTAGCACAATGCCAACCATAAGGATGCATAAGGATGAGATACCAAGTTTGAGTCCTGGTTTAGGACAAAAATTTAAAAAAAAAAGAAATAGATACTTGGAAGGTAGATATCAGATAACAGTTTGAGGAAGACTACGCAAAAGATAATGAAATTCTGTTCTCAACAAATAATCTGGGTGAGCCGGGCGCCAGTGGCTCATGCCTGTAATCCTAGCTACTCAGGAGCCTGAGATCTGAGGATTGAGGTTCAAAGCCAGCCCAGGCAGGAAAGACCGTGAGACTATTATCTCCAATAAACCACGCTCGCCTTGAGCTAAAGAGCTGAGGGACAGCGCCGAAGCCCAGAGTTAAAGCCCCACTACCAATAACAACAACAAAAATATGGGTGTGGTGGCTAACATCTGTAATTCCAGATATCCAGATGTGAGGGAGGAATAGGTAGGATAGTTGTCCAAAGGCTGTCAAGAAATTAGAAACAAAATTACAGCTGGGAACCAGTGGCTCACACCTGTAATCCTAGCTATTTAGGAGGCTGAGATCTGAAGATCACAGTTCAAACCCAGCCTGGGCAGGAAAGTCCCTGAGACTCTTTATCTCCAATTAACCACCAGAAAACAGGAAGGCGCTGTGGCACAAGTGATAGAATGCTTGCTTTGAGCTGAAGAGTTCAGGGACAGTGTCCAGGCTCATATTTCAAGCCCTACGACAGACAAAAAACAACCACCCCTCCACTAATTCCTATCTGAAAAAAAGGATGCAGGTGTGGATCAAGTGGTAGAGGACCTGCCTAGCAAGCATCATACCCTGAGTGCAGTCCCCAGTATTGTCTAAAAAGCTATAAAACAAAAAGCCCTTTCCAACCGTTACTACTTCTACATGAAACTCTTTTCCTCAGTTATATGCACCACCAGATCCTTTACTTCCTTCATACCTTTCTTACTTTTTAAAGATGCCTTCCCTGTCCCATTTCAAACTCTTAACTCCCATTTCTAATTTTAAATATTTTCCCATTTTATTTTTTAAAAATTTTATATTTAATGACATGTTATTAATTGGCCCACAACAGTAGTACCAATCCTGGCTACTCAGGAGGCTGAGATCTGAGGATCGCGGTTCAAAGCCACCCCGGGCAGGAAAGTCAGTGAGACTCTTATCTCCAATAAACCACTCGAAAACCGGAATGGCACTGTGGCTAAGCGGTAGAGTGCTCACCTTGAGCTGAAGAGCCCAGGGACAGCGCCCAAGCCCAGAGTTCAAGCCCCATGACTGACCAAACAACAAAAACATAATTTAGAAGAAATTTTATTCTTGGCAAGTTCTGGGGCTTGAACGGGGGCATGGGCACTATTCCTGAGCTGCTTTTGCTCAAGGCTAGCACTCTACCACTTGAGTCATAGCACCACTTTTGGCCTTTTCTGTTTATGTGGTACTGAGGAATCAAACCCACGGCTTCACGCATATTAGGCAAACACTCTTCCAATAAGCCACATTACCAGGCGACACAGACATTTTTTTTGTTGCTTGTGGGGCTTGAACTCAGGGACTGGATGCTGTCCCTGAGCTCTTCAGCTCAAGGTGAACACTCTACCACTTGAGCCACAGCACCAATTTCAGTTTTTCTGGTGGTTTATTGGAGATAAGTATCTCACAGACTTTCCTCCCTGGGCTGGCTGTGAACTGTGATCCTGATGCCTCCTGAGTAGTTAGGATTACAGACATGAGCCACCAGTGGCTGGCAAGACTTTTTTTTTAATGCTAGACTTCAGTGGAACCTGAAAATTAAAGTATCTTACAGGGTGGGAAGTTGGCTCAGTGGTAGAGTGCTTGCCTCACATGCATGAGGCCCTGGGTTCCTCAGCACCACATAAGCAGAAAAAAGCTGGAACTAGTGCTGTGGTTCGAGTTGTAGGGCGCTAGCCTTGAGCTGAAGAGCTGAGGGACAGTGCCCAGGCCCAGAGTTCAGCCCCCACGACCAACAAATAAATAAATAAAGTATCTTACAGCTATGAGATTAACAATGTTGACTGTCATTTATGATATCCAAGGCCATCAAAGCTTTATGGTCATAGGCAGTGTCATATCATGCCAATGTTACTATATAATAATCAAATAATTAGAAATACTTAAGGAACCTTTAATAAGACTAAGCCTTTTAATTTGTCGATTCTACTTCTAGATATTGTAGGATTGGAAAGGTAAGTTGCCGGGCACGGTGGCTCACACCTGTAACTCTAGCTACTCAAGAGACTGAGATCTAAGGATCATGGTTCAAAGCCAGCCCGGGCAGGAAAGTCTGTGAGACTCTTATCTCCAATAAACCACTCAGAAGACCGGAAGTGTGGGGCTGGGGGTTTAGCCCAGCAGAAGGGCGCCCGCCCGACGCATGCAAGGCCCTGGGTTTGGTCCTCAGCCCTGGAAAAAAAAAAGAGAAAAAAGAAAGAAAGAAAGAAAGAAAACCGGAAGTGGTACTGTGGCTCAAGTGTACAGTGCTAGCCTTGAGCTGAAGCGCTGAGGGACAGTACCCAAGCCCAGAGTCAAGCCCCATGGGGGGTGGGGGAAGGTAAGTTGAAGAACTACATATGGTAATTGCAATTTTTAAGCCACTGTGTATATATGTAAGAATATATCAAGGCAAGGCATGTCTACGATTTCAGCTACCTGGTAGGTGCAAGCAAGAGGATCAAAGTTTGAGGCAGGGGGGCTGGGAAGGTGGCTCAGTGGTAAAGCACTTGCCTTGCATGCTTGGGGCCCTGGGTTCGATTCCTCAGCGCCCATAAGCAAAAAAAAAAAGCCGGAAGTGGTGCTGTGGCTCAAGTGGTAGAGCGCTAGCCTTGAGCTGAAGAGCTGAGGGACAGCGCCCAGGCCCAGAGTTCAG